CGAGTCCCCGAACGCCACAATCACACTTGATCCAGTTCTCTGTTTTCGACTATCTCTCGGATATCTTCCCATTCCTTGAAGTCGGAGGCCGAAATAGTGATTATTAAAAAACCTAAATGCCTACTAAATATAAATAAAATTGCAGATATAAAGAAAAAGAATACAGTTCCTTCTGCTGTTTTCTCGAAAATGCAACTAGTTCCCATTCCAGTTCCAACGTTGCCAGATGGAACGGCGGCATTCCTCCCTTCCTTCTAAAAGGAACATGCTCCAGGAAGGTTGTTGTTTGGAAAGCCGTTCCGTGTAACACTGTAACGCCGACAAGGTTTGACCAAAGGAAAATTGGGGACTCCCTTGCCGGGGTAGGGGGGAAGAGGCGGGGGGTTATGTTTTTAGTTTTTTTTGCCCAATCCCCCAAAGGTCACCCTGGTGATATCCCACACTGCCTAGGGATAGTTAAGGAGAGATAATTGGCTTCGAAGGGAGGGAGGAATCAAATGTTTGTCTTTCTCCGACTTAGGCTAGGTAGCACAAGCTACCGCCCGCTACAAAGGGCGGTAGCTTATAACATCCATCCATCCATCCAACTGTGAATGAAAACAGAGGTGGCGGATAGAGCGAGACATAATACCCCCCCCCCCCCCCCCCCCCCCGGAGAAGCTTAAATTCACATTGCTAAGTAATATGAGCAACGATATTAAACACTAAATATGTTAGAAAACGTACAAAGCAATACCAGTACCTCAAATATTACAATCCATTCACCTCGCTTCCAAGGGGAAAAACAGAGCTTAAATCTAAGTACATTTGATGCATGATTATTAGTGTAAAAATTACTAGAGTGATAGTAGTACCACATTGTTACCATGATTGAAATTATGGAAGCAATAATTTAAGCATGTATTGGTGTTCGGCCAAACCAGATGACATACCCCATATTAAAGAAATGTATTATGGGAGCGCCGTGTTGGAACATCAAATTCTCTCATTATATTGTATGCCTTTCTTGCCAAGGTCGTGTCAAGGTCGTTACTCGCTTAAAGGGTAACTGCAAAGAAAAAAAAGTGTATCTTCAAACAGCCTGATTGGGACAAGCATGTCACAAAACAAATTTTCTGCCAACAACAAAATTTTTTACAGCAATATTTATTGCGCGAGGCTCATTTTAGTTTGCGGCTATTTCGTCCGTTTTAAATCGCGCGCCACAAAGTTGGAATTCTACGTCACTGAGTGGCTGCTATACGTCACGGAGTGACGTAAAGCAGCCACTCCGCGCGCGTCGAGAAAGCGGGAGTTTCAAACGTGGAAAAGTTGTGACTCCGACTAAATTACGTCCTGTGGCGTAAATACTGCTAGAAAAAAATTGTTTTGTCGCGGAATATTTGTTTTGTGACATGCTTGTCCTAAATAGGCTGTTTAAAAAAACTTTTTTTTTCTTTGCAGTTACCCTTTAAAGGGTAGTTAGCTCTTTCTAGCACTTAAAAGAGGGGATCCAAAAGCCTTACTAAACAAAAACACAAAAAAATTAGCCTAGTGTTTCCCTCAATGCACCAACTGCCGGTTGAACCTGTAACACTGGTTCCTGTGAAAGTTTAATAATGACAGATTCCCGCATTTATAATTATTTCTGCCCCACTTCTCTGCATGATATCCCAATTCCAGAGCTCTCAAATTAATGCTGTGACACGCCATTCTGAAATTCTTCAGCAGAAACTGTAAGTGACATTGTGAAAAGGCCTTCCAGCTTTTGATGGCTTGCATGGTTCAATGAGCCCATGCAAGACCCATGACATGGCACCGTTGAGTCCCTCACAACTTCAAAAGAGCACTTAGGTTGGAACCTTACTGCATCTCCCTGCACCATGTGGGCTAAGATCAAAAAAGCACAATTTGATCGGACCCACAGCCCTCGCACCACTAGTGAAGTAGAAACAATATGCAAGAGGCATTAATTCGGTCATCAGTTTACTTTACATGCTCACGAACAGCTGACGCCTTGGTAATGATGCACAACAAAAAGATTAGTCAGAAACAACCTAATGCAACGAAACGCGAGTTGAAAAAATCAATATCCGTTGCATATTTTTGATCGCAGCACAATGTTAGGCAGAGGCTAAGCATTTTACCCTCACTACTGAAAAAATAAATTTTTAATAGTGAAACAGTTTGAGGAGTGAGCTAAACCTTGCACCTGCTCATTGTACTTCAAATTAGACAAAGGAATCAAAATATTGTTGAGGAAACACATTTAAAATTATTGTGCTAACTAAAGAGGTGCTGGGTATTGTGACAATGCAAACTAGCTCCTTCAACTGGTGCATCTCGTCTCTACTTCTTGGGAGTTGTTCCCACCTGCCCAAACACTTCAATATGGGATGATACCATGCTGTAATGGAAACCAGAAAAATTGGCACATGCACATTGAAATCTCAAATTTTCTTCAAACGTGCACTGCGCAAGTCAGTTTTACCGCGTGAAATTTCAAGGCATAGCTCTTTCCCTGCCAAAAGTAGACGACATATAAAGAAATGGCGCTGGAATGCACTCCAAATGCACAAATGAAGAAGCCAGGAATAATGAGAAACTGCATTGCAATGCGGGTCTTCTTGCCATAATATTTACTGAACATTGTCACCAGCGTCACCATTCTTATTCCCCTTGTTCCATGTCTCTGTAACTATGTTTAAAAATATTTGCGTTCTCATTGATTTATGCCTCGTTAATTTTGATGTACGCTTTGATTTATGTCTTATGCTTTGTTCATGACTGGCGAATTAATTTTCTTGGTCACAATTTTTATGTAAGGAAAATTTCAAATTGAAGTATCTAAGTATACATGTCATCTCCCTTAGGGTGCTATTTCTAATACCTACTCTAACTATATTTTTTTTTTAGTTGAAATACCTGTTTATTAGCTTTATCTCTTTTATAATCACTCTTTTTCTCTTGCCCTCGAGAATGCGAAAAATCCCTACTCAGGCACCTTAGCCAAACGTTTTAGTGTCCCATTGACCAAGAGTTCATTGTAGGAAGCTAGCTCATTAAAATAAACAAGAAACGAGCATTCGCCAATCATAGTTTCTCTTAAAACAATATGACGCCCCGAGACGACACTTTTGAAATCTCGCTTTCCAACGAAATGTATCCGAACTCCAAGCACACCGGCTGTCGTGGCGCAGACTGCGAAACCAGCTTCAATGCACTGTCCAATAAGATGAAGGGGGAAATAAAGTATGTCCGTATTTTTAGCAGGCAGCACAGCCACCACCGAAAATGTCCCCAGCTTCAAACACGCAAATAAAAAAGAAAAACGACCACGAGTGCGACGAAGTCGGGAAATCGTAGGACACGGAAGTGAAACCGAAAGTGGAGGCTGACAAACAAGCGTCCATATAACAATACAAACATTAATAAAAAAAAAAAAGAAAAATGTGGTCCGGTAGGAAGCCAAGGGGGCACCCAAGCGACGCAAATCTCTGCAAACGAGTTTGTCCCGTTCGATTTGTGTCCCTTTTTTTCTTTTTTTGTTCTCAATAGGAGCACAAGACAGGAAGTTCGCCATTGGTCATTAATTCCACTTTCCACTCGTTCTAAGCTTCCGAGTAAAACACATCCAGGGACTGCTCATTACGAGCCCGGTCTGCTGCGTCGCAGCGAGTAGAGACGTCGTAGCCGGGGAAAAAGAAAACAATTTCACAATTACGGATTTGCACCGCTAACACAAACAACAGCTGACCGGTGCCTTGTAAGAAGCATTCGCCCTCCTTTCAGAAATCTAGCGATTCCACTAGACAATTTTCAACTCTTCTTATGAGAAGTATTCGGCTAGCCAGAGTAACATACAAAACTTCGAAACGTGAAGTTCTTTAAAAAAAAAAATAATAAATAAAAAGAGGACTGGAAACATCGTGCACCATAATTACCCATAAAAAATGTAATGGTAGTTTTTACCCTTTCTTTGGGGCATATCTCATATGAGAAGTTTCAATCGCCGGTTCAAGATGTCTAAGCAAATAAAAACGAGGTAAGCCCCACGATGTCGGGTAATCCCTACCACTAACAACAATATGGTAAAACCAAAAACAAACAACTTACCGCCATCACCAACTCGAAGGGGTACTTGTAAACACGCACTGGCGACTGGTACTTCTGAACCATCTTGGGGCCGATTTGTTGTCGGTGCGGTGGACAAAACGGAAGATTCGAAGGAAGCGGAGGAAGGATCAGCCGACGACGCGTTAATCCAGAGCCTTAATCCGGCATGTGACTTGATTAGATGCACTGGGATCTACACACACACGGAGGCGGGGGGATCATAGCCCTAAAAGGCTGGTAGACCGAAGCCCGAAAACACCGCCGTAGTTCCGCATTGTTTGGGAACGCCGCTCGTAGAGTCGGTGACGGACCACCTCACGACGATATCGTCCAACATTGCGCCCGAGATTTCGATGCGTTTGCTCAGAGGTCCTGTAATACGGAGATCATCCACAACCACCGAGAGCTAACAACCCACACAAGCAGTCATGCACAAGCAAGCAGCACAACGGTAATTAATAAAAAGTCTGCCTTAGCATTCGACGCGTCAGAAGCGGACAGTTGATAAACTAGTTTCTTCAAGAAACTGCTAAGGAATGTACAAAGTAGAAGACACAAGAGAAATAAAACGATACTCTTCAATTTATCTTCTCAAAATATTTCACACAACTGAACGACGCGTATGAGACTAAAATATATTTAAAGAATTGTCCAAAAACGAAACTACATAAAGATCAGTGCACGTGACCGTTAGAGTTATTTAACCCTATGACGTGACCAACTAATTACGAAAATGACAAGCTTTCTGTTACATGTGTTCCACAACTAAACTTTATTACACGCATTATTTTATTTTACAAACCCTACAGACTTACGTAATTTAGTCACGTGAGTCAAACAGAACGCACACAAGGGACGAATATTCGAACACGCATTGTCAAAATGGGAGAGGGCGTTGTCAGTTTTCAAAATGGCGTCAGCTCGCGCCGCAGAAGACTTCTCAAATTTCTCATTAACGTTCTCTGTGTCGTTTTTCTTTCGAAATTAGTCGGCAAACCTCGAAGCTGTTCAACTTGGGAGTGAGCGCAGCTCATTTATATTGAAAACTGCCGTATCTCGATACGACCTAACGCCGAAAAAACCCAAACAAAGCAAAACAAACCAAGGCAACAACATTGTGCGAGTAGTTACACAAGCCTCCGATCTCTCCACCAACCCACACAATCGTGAACGGGGAATCACTCCGGCGCAGAAAGATACAAAGACAAAGGGTGACAACCGCGAGACGCTTCGGTGTCGGTTTTTGTCTAGACATGAGTCAGAAACGCTTCGTGCGGGCCAGAAAAAGAATGTGCTGCACGACAACGGAGCCAGTGTCCAAGCGGGACTGCAGGGCCACCGCTCAAGGTAGGTCAAGCCTCAAGCCTCGTCACCTCTGTAGTTTGCGTACCCTGACATCCGATTCGTGGTTTAAACTCGCAGACGCCGCGCTGCTGCTTACACTACACGTCGAGATCGGCAGGAACCGTCGCTTCCCCGACGTCTGCAACGAGACCAAGTCGGCACTCCAGTTGCTTCGATCCATTTTCCCAACGGACAAATTTTCGCCCGGATTTCCGCCCATCGTGATGAAGCACCAACTCTACGCCATGGTCCAGACCAGATCGGATGTCGAGAAGGCCTTGGTAAGCGTCCAGTCCCCCGCACGTACTACGTATCCCGTAGAAGTGGTCTATCAAACCACTGTTTCACACATCTCACGGGCATCTTCGAGGACGTCCTGTGGACCAAAAGAAGCGGACGGCGAAAAGTCGTTTTATATCCCTCCTCGAGCCTCTCAATAACAATATTTAGACGTCTAGTTGACGGTCAAAGTGCCTAAAAGACATCATCCAGATGTGTCTGGTGGTCTTTTGGACCCCCGTACTTCAGGGGTCTTAAGGACATCTAAGACGTGCTCTAGACGAAAAACCAGCAGACGGATACGAGACATTTTATATCCCTTTGTCCTAGATGTCTAGTAGATGGTCAAGAAGTCTAGAGATGTCCTCCATATGTATGATGGTGCATTAGTTGAGCTGGAAAGTGGCTACAAGACATTGGAAAATGTCTGGAACTATATAATGTCTTGCCAAGTTGTAAATAATCATTTCTAGACATTTAGCCGATGGTCATGACGTACCGAAGACATCTTCCAGATGTATGATAGCGCATTAGTTGAGCTAAAAGACTGCTACAAGACGTTGCAAGTTGCTCAGGTCTATAACATCTTGCCAAGATGACTACAGGACATCATGTACCTCTTGCCAGGACATCTTTTAGACATCTAGTAGATGTCGTTATGAGGATGCTTGCTATGTCAGTGGACATGGAAAGTTGTAGTGAACATCAAAATTACCTCTCCATTTGTATTTTTAGATAAGGCACTGATAACTTGACTGATTGACTGAGAAACTTTGAAAACTGAGATAGCACCAATCCACGACACAACACGATGAAGGTTGCATGCGATTCAGTTGCGACCTGTGAACTTTTACCGATTAGTGTTGCTCTTGTGCTTTTTTACCAATTGGGACATCTTTCACTTGATGGATGGATGGATAATAATGGCTGTATCCTTTATACCGAGTAAGATCCCTCCATACTGAAAGGTAGCGACTTCTCCCCCTCTTTTTTCTCTTTCGCCCTCGCGCGTCGACGGTGGTGCTGCCTGGATCGCTTCAAGCTAGCAGACACTCCCGCTTGAATCCAATGGGGCGGAAAGTTGTTTTCATTAGTTTTCGTGTTTCGCGATTGCATTTCTGTCGCAAGTTCTGACGCAAGCCTAATTGACTACAGAGACTACAGATATCAGCAGAATGACTTGATGGTCTGGAAAACGTGAACTAGGGCAAAAATGGGCACGCGATGCGAGCACGGTCTAGGCTACTCTGCTACCAAAGCGAGGCTTTGTTTCGCTCCTGCACAAGCAAAGCCACCGACTACATGCAGCAGCAAACTCTTGTAAGTTACAGAGTGACTTTGGTACAATTGAAGGCATTGTTTTTCTGTACGTACGCCCCAGACGCAAAGAAGGGAGATCAAACACTAGTTTTTTTTTCATCGCTTCGTAAGAGAGGCAAGACGTGACATGTAAGCACGAAGCGATTGCTGTGTTAGAGCGCAGCTCTTAGGCGCCCGTTTCCGGCTTGAGCGGCGTCCCCCCCCCTAGGTCACGTGACTCCCATCCAGGTCACGTGACCCCTCCCCCCCCCCCCCTCCCCCTGAGATCACGTGACCCCTGTGAGGGGAGGAAGAGAAAGGAGGGGAGCATGAGCAGAGGGGACGGATCCGAATTTTCCTTACTCTGAAAAATGATTTTAAAAGACTCTTATCTCTTGCTCCTCGGCCGGCTTCGAACCGGAGCCCTTTCGTTCAGAAGTAGCAGGCAGGATCACGAGGGAGGAGAAATATACCCTCCACTCAGTACCCTTCCCTCCTCCTCAAGAGCTGCACTCCAATTCGGCGTTACAGGGAGTTGTAAACGGCTTTCATTTTTTTTTTTTTTTCACAACTGAAGCATTCTTTTCAAAGCTACTGTACTTTGTCTCACCTTAACGTAGACCAACCAAAGAGGCTACAAACGTGAGCGGACAGCTTTGACTCGGGCTCCCGCTGCACGAGCGTTCACGCAGTCGAGGCGTGATCAAACGTAAGGAGCCTCTGCTTGTAATGTTTGCATTTAGTTCATGTTAAGCGGAGATTCCTGTTGTCTAGATAATAAAATAAGTTTCCCCTTTTAACGATACCTGTCCTTGGCGTGCGCAGTGTGTCGTAATAGTTGCGCGAAAACGATCCACTAACATTTGATCCCTATTGCTGTAAAGGCACGGCTGGGAGCCTTTACCCTCTACACGGCATAACGAAATCGGAATATCCTGCGTAAAAGAATCTTAGCAGAACGAGCAAAATCCTAAATTATTCACTAAGGCTGGTGCAGCTGGCGAATGGAGCGAAAATGGCGACGTGGGGCCTCGAAAAGCAAAAACAACTGAAACAAAATACGCACGCAGCGAGCTCTGAATGATGGACTACATTCGTTCAATGAGAGGAGCTGTCAGTGTTCTTCAAAAGATGTTGCTGCCTTTTCAGTATGGCTGCAACAGCTTTTTGACTGGTTTTTAACTTGCACCTAACCTGAGCGCACTGAACATAGTAACTTAAAGAAACTTTTCTTCTCTCAAATTTCGCTTTATTATAAAAGTTATAGGCAAATTAGAATGAAAAAAAACAAGCAAAAAATAACCTCCTTCATGACGTCGTAGGTCCTGGCTTGAGTGGCCGTGAACTAGAGGAGGGCTAGTGAGCTCATCGAGCGGTTACGGCTGCCGCACTCCGTGTCGACGGCTCGAGATGGCGCCACTAAAGCACGTGTTGGATAGGCTGTATGAAGTGGGTGGCCAGGACGGCTCGCATTGCATTTGCTGCGTGATTGAAGACTGATTAGGCATAACAATTCATTGGCCACAAACGACAGCAAACACGGGGTAAAGATCAGTTCAGAGCGGGAGCCACTTCGCTCTGCCATACCGCCAAATGGCCAAATCGCCAGCCAAGCCCACGCCGAAAGCCTTCGGAACGCTCGAAACCGGTCGGATCCTTGAGCCGGTTTACGACCTCAGCGCCGCCATGTACATCCGGGAACTTGCTACGCTCGCCGTTCGTCGGAGCCTCATCCCACTAGCCCTTTCTAGTTTGCACCGTTTTTTCCGCCGCTTGGTGGCAGGTTTGTCGAAGGGTCTTTTCTTGTTTCCGTACTTTATAAACTGCATTTGTTTCTTTTCTGATCTAAATTGCTGAACTAAAACTACTTTCATAGATAATTGAAACGGTTCGCGACCTTTATATTTTGTATCTCGACTAAAAATAAAAAGCTTTTAGCGGCTCTGACCGCTAGTAACCCCAGGACCAAAGACGTCGCATATTGCGTGCTTTCAGCAACGTGGGTCGCCTTCGTAAGTGGAGGAGGTTTCCGCGTCTTCCGGTTAAAATATGACACACTGATATTTAGTTACTCTCTCTGTGCCCGCTGGCTTGCCCGAACCCGAAGAGACGTGGAAACCGTAAAAAAGGTAGACGCTTAAATATGATCGCAGGGCCCCCTTTAATACCGAGCGGCAGCTTGCACCACCTAGCCTAGAAACAATAACAAAAACCTAATTTCCCTTTTCAAGCCAATGCGTTACTCTATCACCAGGCCATGAAGATGATCGCCAGGCAGATTTGTGTGAGATTGGGCAAAAGAAAACATCACCCCCGCCTCCTTCCCCTGGCGAGGGAGTCGTCAATTTTCCTCTGGTCAAACCTTGTCGGCGTTAACTAACACCAGACCCATTGGGGTACAGGGGACTTGGGGCCAGTGCCACGCGGGAGGGAGTCCCAATTTGTTAAATTTGCCCTTGGTAATTTCCACTAGCACTCCAACCTCCCCTTCATTGCTTGCTTCTACTCTTCTATAATCCACCCTTCCACCTTATCCAGCGAAACCGGGGGCCACCAGTATGTCTGCCGCCCCTTTGGGAAGGGCAGGACGAAGCTCCTTGGATTTTAGAATGACATACTCAATTGCTTTCGTCTCCTCCTTACATAGTGCACACATTGTATCTGTGTCTTCAAGTCTGGCCCTATACGTTTTTGTCCTTAAGACTCCCGTCCTCGCCTCAAACAGTAGAGCGCTCTGTCTTGAATTATCGAATAAGCCTTCCTTTATTTCTTGCTTTTGTGACCTATAAATCATTAAAGCTCACTTTGACTGCATTTTATCCTCCCGCATCCGTCTCTCTGCCTCCTTAACTGCCTTTTCCATTGAATGTGTTTGCTTCATCCCATTGCCCGTCTGCAGGAGTTTATTATTTATAGATTTTATGCGGCCACCGCATGTCCTCCATGTCTGTTAGTTGTTGGTCAAAATTTATTTTACTCACTGCCTCTCTGCTCTCAAACAATGGCCAGCTCATATCACCCTGCACTCCCTCGTCTGGAGCGTTCCCATATGCCCCTAGAGCTATCCTGCCAATGGACCTTTGTCCTATCTCCAGTCTTGCCTGAACTTCAGAACTCATGCATAAGACTGCCCTGTGTTTCATAATGGCCGAATCCCTTTTCCCTTCACCGGTTATATGTCTCTCACATTCCTCGAGGTATCTCTTTCCTTCGTTGATTCATAATGCGCCATTCCATGGTGCGCCATAACGTTCCCATATGTTAACCTAATTCCAGATTGTGTTATGCTGAATTTAAACCTGAGAGCGTCCCTTTCTGCGCCACAGATTCCAATCAATTTCTGCAACTCTTCTTGGTTATGTGCTATAAGTACAATATCATCTGCGTAAATTAGGCCTGGCAATTTCTGCCTCACTGTTTTCCCTCCCTCCATGTACTACACATTGAAGCCTAGTTTACTTTCCTCTAGTCTTTTCTCCATTTTTCTTAAGTGAATTATGAAAAGTAGGGGTGATCCACAGACCTGTGTTGACAACAGAATAGGGATGTCACTTGCCCCACAGTTGTGTAATCAACGCTTGCTGTTTTGTACAAATTTGCCATTGGCAGTGATGGAGCGGGGGTTACTGTTGTAAAAGCCTAATCAAATGTGCATCTAAATCATTCTCTCAGCTGTGCCCAGAGTTTTTTCTGACTCGCACTGTCATGCACTCCTTGAATGTCTAGGAATGCTATCCATAACAATTTCTTACTCATGCGTAACACTTTTATATATTGAGTGATGATGAATAAGTTGTCATCTTATCTTCTATCTCTTCGGAACTTGTTCTTTAGCTCAACTAAAATAATTTCTGTTCATTCATCCGGTCTGCTAAGGCATGCCCACTGTTGCCAGACAGGTGCTCTAACAAGGCTTTTTTCACCCAGAGTGACCACACCAAAGATGGCGATAAGCATAACCCTTTAAACTTTCGTCCCATTTCTTTAATGAGCATTCCTTGTAAAATCCTTGAGCACATCATTTACACTAACATTTTCAATTTTCTAGACTCAAATTCTTTTTTTAACTCGGCGCAACATGGATTTCGAAGGTTTTATTCATGTGAAACTCAACTCCTAACCTTTACTCATGACCTTCACGTAACACTTGACCGGGGTTCCAGGACTGACTGCATATTTCTTGATTTCTCAAAAGCTTTCGACAAGGTTCCTCACGCGCTGCTTCTTCATAAACTTCGTAAACTTAACATGGATCTTAATATAATTGCTTGAATAGAATCGTTTCTATCAGACCGTTACCAATTTGTTCACGCTAATGGAACTAATTCTTCAACCTCACCTGTCAAGTCCGGTGTTCCTCAAGGTTCCGTAACAGGTCCACTTCTATTTCTTATATATATTAACGATCTTCCCACGCATGTATGCTCTTCTATTAGCCTATTCGCTGATGACTGTAGTTTATAAGGAAATCATTAACGACTCTGACATATCTGCTCTTCAGACCGATATTAACAACGTCACCCGCTGGTGCGATAATTGGCTTATGGAACTTAACACCTTTAAATGTAAATCTATGAGAGTGTCCCGTCAAAAATAACACTTGTCCCTCCTACTGTATTAATAACTCCACCTTGCTTTCTGTGTCAACCTATAAATATCTCGGTGTTCATATAACTAACGATCTCTCCTGGAACATCCATGTCGAATATATCACTAACAACGCTAATCGCTTATTAGGCTATCTCAGAAGAAACTTTTCCCTTGCCCCTGTTTCACTTAAACTTCTCCTATATAAAACTTTAGTGCACTCCAAACTTGAGTATGCAAGCTCTATCTGGAACCCTGGCATATCCCTAGCATCATCCATTGAATCCATTCAAAATCGCTCCGCACGTTTGATACTTTCTAACTATCACCGTACAGCCAGCGTCACCTCCATGAAAGCTTCTCTACATTTGCCCAACCTCTCCTTTCGTAGAAAAATAGCTCGCCTCTGCTTATTTCACAAAATTTATCACTCTAACCCAGCACTTCGAGCCTCATTATTTTCAGAACCATCATACATGTCGCCGCGCACCGATCATCTACTAAAAGTAGGAATCCCCTACTGCATCACTTCCACCTTTTATGCCTCCTTTCTACCTCTGACCTCCGTCGACTGGAACCGCCTTCCTGCATCCGTAGTCTCACTTACTGACGCTGCTGATTTTAAAACCGCCATAACTGATGTTCTTAACAACGTTCCATAGCGATTCTGTACCTTGTGTTTTGTTTATATTTTGCATTTTGTTTTTATTGTTCACCTTATATTGATGTATATAATTCCACTCCTCTCTGTAATGCCTTTGGGCCCTGAGAGTATAATAAATGAAATGAAATGAAAGTGTGTTTAGACATCTGTTAAATGTCTTTGTGTTCAATGGGCTGCGTGAATGGCAAATAAAACGGGCCCTGTCATCGCTACGTCAAAGGTGTCGTCATCGTTCTGTTTATGCCTCGAGGTTAAATTGCTCGTTTTCCTTATCTTTTCTAGGACATGATGATGGAACAAGGAATGGTACGCACATTCTGCCTGGCTCCCCACGAGGCTGAGCTGGCCATTGTCTTCACGGAGGACTACGTGAGCTACGTCAGACAGCGCGTCAGCCACAGCCTTCTCATTGGCAAGTGCACGACTGTCTACAGCAAGGCCATTTTCTTCCTAAGTGGACTCAAAGAGGCTTGTACTAGATAACATAAAGTATAAAACAGAGAGAGGACAAAACACAGACGAGTACATTTCGTCCTCTCTCTGTTTTATACTTTCTGTTATCTAGTACATCGTACCAACACGCTCGTTAGGAATACAAAGAGGCTTGTGTGCAGTGTATCAAAAGCGTAGCCCAACCACTCGAACATGGGTAGCCTTTATTTGGCTTCGTCTATCTTATAGTGGTTCTTCTGCCATGCTAGCAGTTCATCTTCTGCAAGTGTTTCCTCTACTGTGCCAGCTTAGAACCACAGAAGTGACATTTTTCGAGACGAGCAGAAAGTAGGAATATCCCTTTGCATTGTCACAGTTGTTTGCTGGTGTGGGCATAACTCAGCAGAAACAGTGTTAATTTGTGTGCCATTGTGGGAAGCATCGCTGTTATCATTGTGGATTTTCAGTGTTTCTGCTGGTTACATACCTTTATCAACCTTGGCCTACCGGAGACTTTCGTATGTGATGTCTCTCGTTGGCAAATGTGAGTGATCTGTCATATCAGTATTTGAAACAGAAGCTCTCTTGCGAGCATCGTAATACTACAAAGTTGGCTGCGCCTTTGTCCGAGTTTGTTAAGTATGAACTGCATGCAAGCGATTTGGCGAGTGACAAGACAAGAGACGGCGACCCACTTCGCTGTCGCTTGGTCGGGCGTGCGGCGCAACGGGAGCCAGCGACCAAGACGATGGGCGACATTTTACATAAATCCAAAAGCCAAGCAACACGATGTGACAAGCGACAGTGAGAAATCTCTGTCACTCGTTAAGTCGCTTACATGCGGTTCGGCCTAAACTCCGAAGAAAGACCTTGCCAAACATTTCTTACCTTTTTTGCTGGTTTCACTGTTGATGGGCCAGGGAAGCAGGAAACACGATTAACAAAAATTAAAATGTTGCAAAACCATATCCTTCGACGGCACTCACAATTTTCCGCCCGTCCCGTCTCTATCCCTGCGGAGCGCATTGTCTGCTCGCGGTGCCTATCGTGAGACGGTGCCACAAGAATGATCCCTCAGTTAACTCCCTCAGTTAACAGAATTGTCTGCATATCTATACACCATTGACCATGGCGTGGGTGTTGCTCCCAACGTTTACAGGAGAGAAGCTATGCCTCGAAATTTCATAGGGTAAAATGCACCAAGGTGCAACTTCGACAAAAATTCGAGATAGCCGCGTGCAGGTGGATATTTTTCTGGTTGACCTTGTGCAAGCGCTGGTGTTGAAAACACTTTATATTTCATTTGCTTCTAGCTCTCAATATGATGCAAATATGGGGAAACTTTCCTTTAATAGTATGTTACAGTGACCCTGACCCTCCTCCTCTCCCCCAGTGAGTTTTGTCACAAACCTGCAAGTAGTCCCGCGAAGGATTGCAGAATCTCTTTATTTTTTATTTAATGTGAAACATTCTTTGGCAAGGTGTTCAGTGTTTTGTGACGCCCAAAAGTGAAGCCTGGATAAAAGCGCGACTGCGAGGCTTGACACCGATTGGTTGACGACAGGTGGTAGAGGAACGAGTTGCTCGACGCCGATCGGTTAATGGGCAGGTCATGTTACCAGAGGGGTAAAGAGGAGGAGTGGGTTGAAAAATTCTGGGAGATCGCCAGGTTTATCATTTCAGGTGTACACGTGCCACGCATTAATTTATCCGAGGAAGAGGGCTGTGAATGTGGGTGTCTGCCTAAGCAAGCTAGACGTGCTGCTAAACGATGATATAAAAGTTTGTGATGCAAGAACGTTTGACGTATGCAATGGACTTTCCTAGCGATTTGTGATAGTTACGAACAGGATGAGCGCAGTAGCAAAGAGCTCCTTCAGTTGTCCCACCTCAAGTGTGAGGTTCCTACCTTCTACGAAACTTTGGGATCTCGCGAGGCCCGAGCGTGCGCTCGCAACCAAAACACAGCAAAAGGCAACGGGTGCACACCGAAGGCCGGGTATTTGAAAGAAACACGCCTTGCGTTGTCCGTTTGAGTCGTCGTCGCCGTAGGCTCGTTGCCGGCCGAGATCTTTACGAGTGCCAAGTTTTGTTCCCACGTGCCGAACGAATTTTCATTTCGGTGACGTCAAACCATGCTTTGTGAAGAAGGTTTTGTTTATCGAAGATGCATAGTTCTATGGGCAAGAAGTCTGCGTGCCTCCGGAGTGGGACAATTTTTCTAGTATCACACTTGTCGAGACACGGCGCTGTGTGGCGGCACCTCGACTTTGCACCCCGAAGTCACTCTTTCAGGCAGACTTACTTGGACTTTTTTTTTAATTCAAAACTGTGACTTCCTTTTTTTTTTTTTGCAGTCATCGATTATAGAGTTCTTTATACCCGTTTTTACCTCGAGGACTGTAGTAAAAAAGTCCTCGAGGAGTATTTCTAATTTACCCCCTTATGCAAATAAGATATCCAAAGATGAATTTTAGATTAGATGTATGTTATCTTATTGAGACGTGCACGTTCCAAATGCCAAAAGCTTCGCTTTTTCCTCGGACAACCAAATCTCGTAAAAGCTACTTTGCGCCACGTATGGACAATGCGCAAAACTTGCTTTTTTTCGAGGTGAAAACGGGTACAGTAATTTCCAGATCTCGGAGTTCGCCACGAACCGCGAGGTTGAACTACATATATTCGCCATTCCGTAACAGCAAAGTAAATAAGAGTCGCCTAAACCAACATTTTCACGTACCATCAAAAAGTGACATTACAAGAGAAAGCATTGTTTTCTTCGCTTGCTGATACATTGCGCTACACTTGTAAGAAAATGTGCAGCCCTGTTGGGAGCGGCAGGGGAGCAAACCGAAACTGCACAGGGGCGCGCCCGAGTGTACCTGGGCGTGGCACCGAAGGGCTAACTTTCTTTTTTTTCTCGGCTCGTGTCGCTGCAGAAAGCTTCGTCGACAAAGTGGTGACGCCGCTCTGGGACCTGAGCTACAGCCACGCGTTCCTGACCCGGCAGCTGGAGTTTCAAGAGGCAGACATCAGGTGAATCGCAGTTGCGTTGGGTTACAAAACGTCTCGCGCCGGAAAGACCGATTCACACACTTGCGACCGCTTACCGACCGACAAACCGACTGCTGGGTGTGATGTCTTACCCGGAAGTTTCAGCTGTTTCCTACGTGCCGCTCGTGAGAAAACGCGTTTGGCGCTTTTGACTGCTCAGGTAAGGCTTGCGGAACGCGCGCGCGCGGATATGTTGAGATCTCCATATAATAAGCCATGGCTTCCTCTTCGCACGGAACGCTGCAGGAAGGAGGAACTTTGACGCTATTTTGAAAGTGCCGTCGTGGCCACTGGGTGCATCAATCTGAAATATAATTTTTATATTCGTAATCTGGAGGCCAAATGAAGACGATTCAAGTTGTTGTTTTTTCTGAACTACAGAACCGCTTCGGTTTTGCTCTAAGCTCCTCGGTTGGTCTACATTTATCCTCGGTTCGTTGCAGAGGCCTCATAATGCGCAGAATTGAGTTTAATTATTTTTAATTTAACGAGTAAACGTCGCTCGGAAGCAGTGCAGCGGACGACTCAATTTCATGCGTTTACAAATCTTTCAATAAACAATCTGGTCCCGATGTCATTTTCTCGGTTACAACCAAAAAGTGTCCAACGTAGAAATCAACATTCAGTTATATTGCGTTTTGGTTTATACTCTTAACTTGCTGTGGTCGACCGTTCGATATAGGAAACAAGAGGTAGCTTTAAAGGGATACTTCAACAATATTTGAAATATATTCGTCGTGTTCAGAAATAGGCTGAATATGATCCCCAAGATCAGTAAATGGCAATCGCACGTTTGTATTTTGAGCTTGATGGCTGTTTTTATAGTTATAAACGGCCCACTCTGGCAAGCGTTTGCAGAGCAGCCAGCGGAGAGCACATCACATCTGGCGCAATCGTGACATAGTCTGTCTCTTGGTGAGCAAAGCTGTGGCGAGGCTGACGTCGTCAGGATGCCCTAGCCGTTTCAGCCACCGGAGCGATTGAAGCGCACCAGCGATCGGACCACAGCACCTAACTGCAAAGCTGCTTGCGAGTGAATTTTGAGTGACGGGTTAATCTACTATAATCTTGTAGAGGGAGAATGGCGACGTCTGGGACACACAAAGGAGAGTCCCGTTGAGTGGGGAGTTCCTCGCTCCTCCCTTCTCTTGTGCTGGCCGTAGAAGTGTCGGGATGACGTCAGGTTCAAAGCATGTATAGTTCTAGGCGAGACAGTTATCGTCACTACCTGTCAAGTTTCCTAGACGGGTATTACAAACGAGGCTTTAGCGACATCTACCGGGTGCTTTTTACTAATCGTTTATTTAAAATTTCTTTTTGTGTCCTTTGTAACGCGATATTGGTGTGTCCGATGTGAACACGTATAGACCAAAAAATAAGCGCTGAAGTTTCATTGTAGTACTATCCCTTTAAGCATCGGGAGTGGAAACAAAAGTATAAAACATTTTTCGATTGCTGCTGTGGTTTCATTCAGATGACTTAAAATGGGAATTGGTTTTCGCTTACATGTGCCAACTGCTGAAAAAAAAAAAAGTCAATTTATTAATTACACGTTTCTTTTTGCGTACCCCGTTCAACGCAGCGAGCTGGTCCGTGCGGGCCTCTTGACACCCCGCAACGAGCCCAGTCGGTGGTGGATCGGCGTCCCAGGGTCCACAGGGTTTGCCAGGACCCTGATCCGCGGACGGACAGCCCTCCTCCAGATGCTCAGACGGTCCAAACACCACGAGCTTCCGCGCACGGAGGTGATATGTTTGTTTTGTTTGTTCTTTTTGGTAGGTGTGACCACAGTGGGGCTAGAGTGAAGAGGCACACTTCCTAAACGCCCTCATATGGGGAGTAGTTTCTCCCCGGCACCACAGCTCGATGGGGTCGCTGCAACCTCGGCCCTCGCAAAGGCCTTTTGTAGACATTTTTCGTTGCCTTTCGTTTTCAGTCACATGGGTTCCATATCCAGTATGCAAGACGAAAAATAATAAGGCATTTCTAGCTGGAATATACGAGAAAATGTAGGTCAGGCAAAATGAGAATGTGCGACAATCGTGCATTTTTCGTGAACACTTTTCAGCGGCATGGAGAGATCAAAACAGCGTTTTAACGCTTACCAGGAGTGACGACATTCAATCTGGCTGCGATTCTGTGGAAAAGGTGAATACTGAGAGAGTTTGGCCGATTGGGGGAACCTGCTGCCCTCGAGGACAAGCGGACTTTCGACGTCACACAACTCTGTGTATGCTAGTCCGTATTCGCGGTTAGAATTTGTTTTAAGAATGCAATTTCTTGTATGCCAGCATCTTGTTATACCTGCATTTCATTGCCAGGTCTAAGCAACAGTAATTTTTTATCGTCCTCCAAACACAAAATTTACAGATAATTTACAGAGGCGCACGGGTTCGCAGCGCCTCTCCGCTAAATGGCGCCCGTCCCTGCACCGAATATTGGTGGTGGTTAATTTAAACACAAAGTATCAAATATTCACGTTTGACAAAAGAGGAATAAATGAAAGATCGTAAGATTCTGAGATATTGCAGCAAATAAGCAAGTTTGAGCTGTTGATAACATGTACAGTGCCAGAGACGCTGAAATCAGCGAGATACACTTTTGTTACGGCGACGGGTCGCTGTATTTTTGACGTGCCCAATTCAGAGTGGGTCGTAAATTCCGTACCCCAAGATGGTGTTGCCGAGATCTGGTTTGCCAGTTGCCAGACTCCCAGCTGTGGTTGCCGGATCGTTGGCGCTTTCAAAGGATTGCCAAGCCCTCCCAGTATAGAGGGCTCCGATCCCTCCTACAGCGCCTTAACTCCCTCTAAGGAAGCACCTCACCGAGTGGGCCTCTTTGCTCCGCAGTTGAATCAAAGGGATTTCCAGATTACCATATTTACTCGCAGAATGAACACACTTTTTCGCCGAAAAATTGATGCAAAGTTGGGGGGGGGGCATTCATTACGCGAAGTAAAATTCTTGCGTCCGTATTTACTCCCATAATGAACGGACCTTTTATCTAAAAAAAAATCAATGTAACTTCTTATCTCTTTGCCCGCCTTTTGCAAGGCGTTTTGTTCGCCCACGCTGCCCGTGCATTCGCGACCTCGCTGCACCAGGATAAAAAAGTGTGTCCATTTCGCACGCATGGGGAAAAGGGGGGGGGTTCAAAATTTTGACTTCCGAGTTGGGGGTGCGTTTAATTCGCGAGTGAAAAAAAAAAGTCGAAATTTCGGGAGCCGACCTGGGGGGTGCGTTCATTACGCGAGTGCATTCATTGTGCGAGTAAATACGGTAGCTAGACTTAAAGGCCGTGATGCCAGCTGCCTGCAGAGAATTGCGCGAAACACCTCTCCTCTTCTTCTTAAAAAAAAACAAATTTTCTATAAACAAGCTTTCCTTTACGGCGAGCCTAAAATACTTCAGTGGGCATACTTCAGTCGTTTAAGACGAGTACATTGGCAGAGATTTTCAATCTCAGTGATTGGAACGGGTGTCGAGGGTGGCTTAGGCAGTACTAGGAAGGGTAGCATAGAGAGGTATGCAAGAGCAAAGGCCATAAGGAAAGCTACTCATGCCCAGTCGTGGTACGACTTACTTTTTTGGGAAGTCCATAGCTGGAGAGGTTGTATGCCAGTTTATTTTGTGTGGTTGAACGAAATGTACTGAACCAAACATGAACAGACACACATTCTCGGAAGTCTGTTTCACTCCTCTAGAGTTGGAGAAAGGACATTTCACTTCAACACGACAGATATGGTGCCTGTGACCCATCGTGGGAGTGTTTTGTGGCATATACCAGTCACGTAAATAAGACTTCAAAAACTTCGAAATAAAAATTTCCTTTCTGTAAAGTGCGGAAATTCGAGCCTAATTGTATGTAAAGGGGCCGACAGTCATTTCTTCATTACTGTTTTTATATGAATCAGTGCAATCAACTCATCTTTTTTGTAATTTGTCGTTAATGTTGATAACGCATTGGCCGGGCATACCGACTTGCGGGATTAAAAGTGTAAGTCGCCGCAAAGAGTTAAAAAAGTTTGCGCGAGCACCCACGACCACGGCAGGAAAAAGAAGGGGAAATGCGCATGAGCTAGTGCAGGGGTTGTCGAATCGAAACTTGTTTTATCTGTGGCAATCAATCTCTCGATTGATCGCCGGTCTGGACATTGGTAAAGCAAAGCAACGCAGATGCCTACAAACCTTGTAAAGAGTACTGCGCATGCTAAGGAGCGTTTTACACATTGTTGCACATTGAAGGGCAGCTCAGATATTTTTAACATGGTGCTTACACTGGAATCTTACTTAGGGGCAGTGACGGTTCGAGAAATTTGGCAAGCCCAGGGAACCCCTGGATTCTCGGGTGTCCAGTTTGAGAAATCGTGACACGTGTAATAATACTAGTAATCTATAGACAAGGAACCGAATACAATAGACCCTTCTCAAAAGTTCATCAAGCAACTCCGACGGTCGCCACGTTTTGGGCATGATATCCTGCGCGAAGCCTGGTATTGAATTCGAGCTCACTCTGAGCACCGACGGAGCAATCGTGTCGAATACATTTAGACCCAAGTGCGTGTCAAGCAGCGACAAAGTGCCCGCGTCCAATACATGCTTGTAGTGCATGCCCCAAACGTGGCATCCTCGGATGATGCGTGCACCAGTCACTGGGGGGCCCGCACTTTCGGAAAGGGTCTATGCGGAGAGCAAGTCGTATGCTTCTTGCGCAGGAATTGCGGCGACGTCAGAATGATGCTGAGCTCCGATTGGTTTTGATTGAAAGGACAGTGGGTAAACCTTAATGCTAAATGCGTTGATGTCTACCCACTATTTTTTTCAATGGGCCAGTAAGAACTCTGTGTTCGAACATCGTCGCAATCCCTGTGCAAGAAACAGACAAAGTTGCGCTCCGCAATGGTTACATCAGCTTAGCGAGGCGGAACTGTGCTTGGACGTGCGTGTGGTGTCCGACAAGGCGAGCAGTATAGTACCGTGGCACACGGTCCTGCATAAAGCTATTACAATCCCGCGCGACTAAGTACGCATGAGAGAGTTGTGTGGCACTGAAGTGACATGAAAAACATGAATCGCTCATGGTAATGAAGGCGTCGTTCCCTCGGTCCCCGCTCCACCTCTCTTCTCCGACAAAGGTGGAGAGCTCCCGGCTTCCTCGCAGCACCAAACTGGGCACGGCCTACTACGTCTACGACGCCATCGGAAGCGGCCTGGTCGCCTGCGTCAAGACTACCTCCGGGGACATCCTTAGGCTCAGGGAGTGAGACTGTAGTCTTGGGAACGGTCCTCGGAGACTCGTTCGACCCTCGGAAGTGTCTTCGCGTCGGGGTCTGCCTACCAACGGAGACGTCCTCGGGCCAAGACAGTGAGAATTGTCTTCGAAGACTCATTTAACTTTAGGGAGCCGACGTGGAAAGGCTTCTACCCGCTTCTTGAGACACCTCAAGCCGAGGCGACAAGATCAATCGGCAGAACGGTTCTTGAGGACTTGTACAACTCAAGAGCCGATGGGGGAAGGAGTTCTACCTGCTCCTGGAGGTGTCTCGGGCCGAGATGGTGAATGGTTCTTGAAGACTTGTTTAACCTTGGAGAACTGGCATGGAGGGAGTCCTAACCATTTTTGGAGATGGTATTGGGCCTAAACAGCAAGGTTATTCGTCTGGATGGTTTGCAAAGATTTCCTCGACTCGGGAAAGCTTGTGTGCAAGAAGCATTATCACGTGTCCTGAAACGAACCTGGTCGGACAGTGGCCGCTGATCTACGTAATGGTCCTCGGAAGGCTTCCCCAACTTTGGGGGGGGGAGGGGGGGCGGGGGGGCCACGTTGAAGACAGTCTATCCTCTTCTGGACAAACTGGATCTGATACGTGGAATGGTCCCTGTGGAGCTCGGTGAACACGCTCTCTTCGGGACGGTGTACCTGGTCTACACGTTAAGTCTTGAGGATACCTTCATTTCTGGAGGGTCGGAAAGAAGATATTCCACTCCAGGACACCACCTTGCAAGTTCGGGAACAAGCAATGTGCTTGGTAGATCTCCCAAGGCCATGGGCTTACATGGTGCCCCCATGTAAGCTCTGCGGAAGTGTGACAAACCTTGGCTTCTTTACGTGTTTCACGTGAAACTGGGCTGGTTTTGGGTTCTCGGTCCACATCAAAGAGTCAGCAAAGTGCCATCGTGTTGGCTGTATTCCTAGCAAGCGAGTTGAAACGGCAGACGCTCGAGGACTTTGCCTTGAGTAATGTACAACATCTAAGGTTGCACTGAAGCTTGGGAGCGAGCTGCTGTTGCCCTCAAGCTCGAGCAACAAGTTAGGCACTTGCCTAACCCTAGTGAGAAATGATCTAGAGACTGCTTCAAAGTTTTGGGGAGCATGTTGGAGAGAAGATATATATATATTTTGGGGGAGTGACAGAAACATCTCCTGGTCTAGGGAACAACCTTGAGGTGTCTTACTGGAATATAGTAGTATATGTGTGTGTGTGTGTGTGTATGGCATATCCAAGTGGCAGCAGTAATAGCATATTTATGCTCCGATACTCTGTAGAAAGGTGTTTGGGCATTGTTTTTCAGCCCTCAATTATCGGGAAGCACATGTGGGCTTCCTAAACGAGCCACCTACGATTTCTTTAGCCTGGAAGTTATTCTGACGTGCTTTTACGACTTGAAGGGCTTAAATATGCGAGGGTATCTGCAGTGGATTTCACAGAACATAGAAGAACTGGAGCATTTGGAACTGGCTTGGGCTAGCAGTGGATGTCCGAACAGCCCCGTCATTGGCGGGCTTGTTGCGCTGGAGTGAATGCGACGACAAGTAGAGGAGTTATTTTCGCACAAAATAGGTATGTAAAGCTACTAGACTGCTTTCAGGCATGAAAGATACTAAATTGACCACAAGGCATTGGGGAGATGCAGTAATGTCCATGGCTTTAGGAAGCGTTTGCAGGATTGGGACGACCTAACTCGCGCGAGAAGCTACAAAAAGATTGTTTTTTTGTGTGTGCAGTGTGTATAGCAGACCCTAGTTAGCCTTTGTGTAATATAAAAAAAAAAAAAGAAACCATGGTTACCTCCACCTAGCGAACTTTGCTGAGTCACTCTACGCAAGCTTCGACTGGGAGACGAGACTGATCGGTACGGCGAGTCTCCGTAGGTTATTTTTGTTGTTGTTGTTTTGTTTCTTCGCATATTATTTGGACAAAACGCTCGTCGGAATACCGCGCATGCTTATCCCCCGGCGTGGTACGTCGAATTTCGTGGCATGCCGCTACGGCCCCTGAACAGAACTGCTGTAAATATGATGTGACAAAGCTGTAAATAAACTCTATACTGATAACACACCTTGGCTGCCCACTCATTTTCGCTCCCGCAGGTCTTGGCGTAAACAGGCGGCTTAGTGATACACATTTGTGTCGCCGTTACTGCGTGGCGCACGACGAAGGATTGCATTGGTGTGCGTTCCGTACTGACCAAACCTTCGCTCCGTAGCGGAGATGCAACCGTCACGTTTCAACCAAGGGCTGCCCAGCTTAAAGGGGCACTGACACCCCAAAGGTCGTATTTATTTTCATTGTCTAAAACGATGCAAGTTGCAGTCATAGACACGCAAAAAAAACCGCATCGCGCAAAAAAATTTTCCCGCGCGCGCACGCACCTTTTTATTTTTGGCGTTTGATTTTCCCGCCTCTCGCCTCCTCGCTTCTTTTGATCGGTGACGTCAAGAATCACGAAATTTAGAAGCTTTGTAGGCGACATCTCTATAACATTTAATTACGGCAATCCTAAAACATGTTTTTTAACGCAATTACGAACGCACTACGGCCCTTCTTTTTGAAATACCAAAAATCGGGAGTTCGTTGTGGTGCCGTCTCCTGGATTTGTATCCTCCAACGGAAAACAGGCGACACCGCTCAAAACCGGTCCGCCGCAACGCCGGCGCCCGCTCCTTTTCTCCTCGCTTTGGGTCGCCATGGCAACAGCAGGGAGTGGTGAAAGGAAGTGGACTCTCAGGACTCCGCAATTTTTGACGTCAAGGCACCGGCGCCGATCGCGCGGGAACTTCGAATTCGGCATTTGGAAATTGTTTTTTTACTTCACAAATACTGAATTCCCAAATTTCAAATTTTGAGGGTAATGTCCCGGCATCGTTTTCAATCGTTTCGGATAATAAAAAAAAAAAATATGATTTTGATGTGTCAGTGCCCCTTTAAGGCTGGTTTGCGCACTTGCATCTCCTTGCAGCCAGGTGCAGTACGACTAAGGACGTCTCGAACCTGCCGAGGTTCGAGTGGGATTGAGCTCAACTTCCTCAAACCTCTAACGTGAAATTCAACTAAAGTTAGACTTTTGCTCGCATGCGAAAAAATTTGAAACCAAGTTGACACCACCTGGCAGACGACAAGTGCAATATTTGTTGGACGTATTGCATCGTTGGTTTACATTACTAATGAAAGTCAGTAATGATTTTATAGACTAAATCAATTTTTACATTTTCTTTTTGTTTCTCAAGATTCTAAATCTCTTTGTAGAAGCCGGGCAACGTAGTTTAAACGTTGAACTTTGTCAAACTTTTGCGACGTCTTACGGCAAGAGACTACGCCGGTGCCATTTGTGAGGTGTCACTAGAATTGCATTTCACCGGAGCGAATGTTTTGTTTTAATATTTGCAAGATCAAATGTTTGTACCATCTATGAGATTATGACATTGTAGAGTTTTTTGAACCAACAATAATTAACTAATGTGCAAAAAAAAATGTATGGAAATCGCTAGTGCTTTATGGCTGCCCGTCGTAAAAGATCGCAAGATGTAATGCAATGGGTCCTAGGCGGTCTGAGGCAACGAGCCTTTAGACAATCTGTCAAATAACATGACAGTGCAATAGCATGTTTGAGTGACATGCAATGCGACACGTGGCAGAGGAATTGCGAATGTGCAGAGGACTTTTTCATCCTTGCACCTGTTCTCTTGGGATGCATGGCAGCATTTTTCCTAAAAGGCCTCCGCGCCTACTAAAGGGTGTCCCAAGCAGAGCTTCTGCCGGAACACGGGCCGGAAAACATTGTGCTCGCACATAGAGAGCTCGAACTTTCATCAACCGTGCACTGAGCAGGTCTGTTTTATTGCGTGAAATTTCGAGGCTCGGTTCTCTTTCCATAGAAAGGTTGGAGCAAAAAGCCTGCCAAAGTAGAGGTTGGACGCATTCGCAGACGACCAAGTGAGCGACACTATTAACTGGAGACTTCATCTCCCGACAGGCGCGGCGGGCAGACGACAGAGTGCGTCATCTGCTTGCTGCGCCTACCTCGAGATGGCACCTCGTGTAAACGGCGTCGCTAACTTGGTCGTCTGCAACATGCCCAGCGTTGACGTTGGCAAGATTTCTGCCGCAGTCTTTTTACGAGAAGAGAACCGTGCCTCGAAATTGTGCGCGGTAAGACTGACCTGCACGGTGCACGTTCGGTGAAAGTTTGAGCTTTCTATAGGCAAGCGCCGGTTTTGCCGGCTCGTTTTACGGCAAAAAGTCTGCTCGGAACACCCATAGATTACTCTACGGTACTCGTGTGCAGTTCCTACTCTAGTTTGCAGCCCATTTGTCCAGCAGGAGAGCGGTGAGGGGGAAAGGAATGTTAGTGCACTGCTTACCACTCTGCACGACGCTCCTGGTTGCACGAGCTATGACGTCCAACCAACGGCTGCTCTTCGTTGCCAATACTCTCTCATGGCCTTGCTACGGTGCGACCGACGCCAGCACGAGCAAGCAAGGTTCGTGCAGAGTTCCTGCATAAAGCTGTCGCCTCGTAAATGACTTCATGAACGAGCTACAATCGCAAATCTTCAGTGTTGGGCTTTTAATGATAGGAGTGGTTGAACTGTACTTTTAATAAGGTTTTAAATTAGGGAGGGGGGGGAGCCTTATCAAACTGACAGTTGCCAACTTAAGTTATACGAAGACTGTGAGTGTTCCAGGGCAGAGCCATATATTGAAGAGTTAGGCCGATTTATGATCTCGCCACCATAACGTCCCCCTCTTGAGCGAGTCAATCAGCCCGCGACATGGAGTGAGAGGCGCGAGCGCATGCGCGTGAACTCTAGGCTGCTCCCAGCTGTGCGGGAAGGACCACCATTTTCGTTCGTTCGCCCGGTGGAATGCATGGGATCAACATTTGAATTTTGCTCCTTTCCTTTTATTTCGCTTGCTCTGGCAAGAAAATGACAGTGTTATTCCTGGGTGGGTTAAAAAGCTAACGAATGAAGTTTTCTCAACGTTTGACTGCAAACTTTTATTCGGGCGAGAAAGAAGTCCACCCGTAGCAGATGACGCAAAGCCTCAACAGTGCTCTGTGCCGGGGTTGTGCTGCGTCAGAATGGCGGTCATTCCATCTTTGCTCTTTCCTTCCTCTCTCGCTCCTTCGGCGCTCTTGCCCCTTTTTCACTTTTCCCCTCTCCAGCGCCTTCGTCGCCATGCCCACTGGCCAGACTCTCCCGATATACGGCTGTGTTCAGGGGCTCTTTGATAGATGTCTCCAGTGTGTTCCCTCAGTTCTCTCATAGCAGGCAGTCTCAAACGATAACAACTCGGTCAGTTGCAGACAAATGCAAACGTGTGAACCTGCCTTAAGGGCTATCCAAGGAGGACGCAGCAAATGGCGTGCTCGGCGAAAAAAAGGCGTACGCCTCCCGAAAAACGTGGACGTTGCGACGCACGCATACGTTTTCAGTGACGACATCAATTGTGCAAGCAACACGGCTTTCCTCCTCATCTCCTCCCCTTTCTTGCTTTCGGGATGTTGGGGACCGACAACA